CCAGGGTCACTGTCCGTGTGTCTTCATCTTGAGGGGGCAACTTACTTCTCCAAGGCAGCAACAAACTCAGTGAGCAATCTCTAGGCCAGGGGTAGTGAACCTATAGCCATGGCTATGTGTTGCGTGTCTTTCTTTTAAGATGAAAGATGTTCATGCATGAGTTCTTCCTAAACTAAAACCTCAGTATTTGGGTTGAATTGCAGTGCTGGCACTTTGTGATAATAAGTAGGCTTTGGGTTGCAGTTTGGGCACTGATCTTTTTTTTTTTTTTTTTCTTTTTAATGTATTTAGTATGAGGTCTATACACAGATCTGACTCATAGTGATCCTGTTTTCAGTCTCCCAAGTGCTGGGATTACAGGCGCGCACTACCACACCCAGACTCAATGGCCATCTCAGAGTACGGGTGGAGCCAGCACAGCACACCAAGGATTGAGCCCCAGTCCCTGCGTCTGCCTAAGCAGGCACTTTAATCAGCTGAGCTATCTGGCTGGTTGGGCACTAATCTTTAAAAGGTTTGCCATCACTACTCTCAGAGTTGAGCTTCTCAGTCCTACAACCACAAGGAACTGAACTTTGCCAAGAAACAATGAGGTGGGAAGAAACTACCAAGTCTCAGATGAGTAGGCAGTAGATCCAACCCTTGATTTCAGTCAGTGGGAAATGGAGCAGAGACCCTGCTGAGCCAGGGAATGGCCTCCGACCCTCAGAAGCGGGGACAGCTAGTGGAAATTGTTTTCAGCTGCCAAATTTTACATAATTTAGTACACAGTGATAGAACATTAATACAGACTTTGGTGTCGGGAAGCATGATGCTGCTGTAACAAACATCTACAGAGTGGGAGGAGGCAGGAAAAATGGGGGAGCCTAAGCAAGAAAGTCTACATTTTCTTGAAAGGCCCCTGGTAAAAATATGGACTTGCTAAGTGTGGTGGTGAAGGCCTACCATCTAGCATTCTGGAAAGCTGGAGCTGCAGGATCATGAGCCCTTCCCAGGTGACTTAGCAACATAACAAGGCCCTGTCTGAAAAAAGAGAAGGTGGCCTGAGGGGCTCTGGCTCAATGCAAAGACCCTGACTGCAACCCTTAGTGTGCGTGGGGGCTGGGGTATGTTGAGGATGCTGCCAGTAAGAGCTCAGGAGGGAGCGAAGAACATGCTACTAGAAACCAATGGGAAGGAATCTTTCCTGTTGTCTCAAGTTATTTTTTACTCATTGCTGGGACAAAATACCCAACAGCCCAAATTAAGAAAGGGAAGGTTTATTCAGCTCTCAGTTAGTGGAGGTTTCAGTCCATACTTCAGTCCCAGTCTGTACTTGGCTGGCTCCCAGGCAGAGTGGCACATGTCAGAGAGCAGCAGTTCATGGGGGCAGAACACAGAAGAGCAAAGGGAGGAGGGGCAGGCTTCTCCCAGCCTCTCTCCCCTCCTTATATTACAAACAAGCTACCCTGGGGCTGGGGTGTAGAACTTCCACAGTGTCCATGTTCTTCTCTTGCACAGGATGAGGATGTTTACAGCTAAGACTCCTGGCTCTCTGCTGAGTCACTTAACTTCTCAGGTTGACACAATGGATCACCCAGTACACCTGTGCTGTGCAGAGAACTCAGGAAACTCGTCTCCTGCAGCAAATCTTGTTAGCAGCTAAAGGCATCTCCGCACAGCATGAAAGGCCCAGTTTGTTCCAGCTGCTCATAAAAAAGTATGAGAGAAGAGCTGAGAGGGCAAACTGTTTGACAATGAACCAAGAACAAATTATTTAGAAAGATGTTAGCTGCTCCACAGAGCAAAAGCAGCTAAAGATCAGAACCGCAGCTGAAGGCAGGGTAGAGGGAAAGCTTGAGCCTAGAGACATAGAATTTAGACCAAAAGAAGAATGATTCAGCACACACAGCTGACGGTATGGACACGCAACTTCCCTAAGACATTGGTGATACTAACACAGCAACATCACAAAGTCGGGGTGCTGAGGGAAAAAGTTATGCCAACTACAATCCTGTAGCGAGATAAATTATCTTTCAAAAACTGCAAGCAAGATAAAAACACTCCCAAATAAACAAAGACAGTTTGTTAGGCCGGGGATGTAGCTCAGCGGCATCATGCTTGCCAGGGGTGTGCAAAGCCCAGATTCAATCCCTAGCATGCACGCGCGCGCACACACACACACACACACACACACACACACACACACACACCCTACCTCAATGAAGCGCTGAGCAAAGTCCTTAAGATGAAAAGGAGCACCACCAAAGGGTAACCTGGATTCCTAAGAGATTGTAAAGCAGGACATAGGAAAACGGACACCGGCTGGTGAACATAAAGGCCCCATGTGACTTCCGTATGCCTTCTATTGCCCATTTGAGCAGTCATCACACCATCCTACTCCGAGTTTGTAACATCTATAGATGTATATGTCCATAATAGAACAGAAGGTAGGAAATGGAGCTGACTGGTACAAATTTGCTAAGTATTACTGGCCTTAATACTAAGCTGACAAAATTTAGAATAAAGTTAGGAAGCATATTGTGATTCCTAAGGCAATTGTTAAATGCATAACTAGGGAATATGCTAAGAAATGAAGAGCGTACACTTACGCCTCTTATGCAGACGAGGCGATGAGTCTGCGGCATGTTCTGACATTTCATACTAAACATCTTATAATTTGTTATATGTTGCCTTGATATTCACTGTGAACACAGATCTAGCTTTCTTATACCAGAAGCAGGGCTCTGTCACCTTAGACATGATTCCCAATTCTCTAATGCCCCTAGTCCTTCTTCAATCTGCTTTATATACCTGCCTCCTGTAGGGAGACCAGTCCCCACCCTGGCTCGGACCACTCAGCTACATATGCTGTGGTGACACCACAGAACTTGTGCCTGCTTGCTCTAAATTCACTAGAACTCCCTGTAGGAAACCTGCTTGGCCAATGCCCTCGATCCCACCCCATGAAAGGCTCTGGCCACAGGGCTCCCCTCTTGCTCCTCACCAGCAGGCTGAGTGTACCTGTCCCTTACATCTGCCCTCTTCCTGTTGTCCCTGCAAGGACTGCTGCCCTCTTCCGCCTGAGATCTGTAAGTAACCCACCATGTGTGTCGCTCCACTGCCTCCTGTATCACACCCAGTCCACATACCTAAGCCCCATCTCCTTCTGGCCAGAGCTCCTGGTGGGCTGAACTGAACATATTGCAGAGAGGAGCCACAGAGGTGCCTGCCAATGTAAACAGGTGTCCTGTGAGACAGACACCTGGTCACAAGTGGGACACTGAGGCATCATGTCATCCGCTGGGAGAAAGTTCCCATGAAAGGCAAACTGTAAAATGCAGGACCACATCCTTTGAGGCCCCAGCAGGACATGACTAGTTGACAGTCACTGTCTAGAGACCTGAGAACCAAACCAGAGGTCAGTACAATGGAATCCTAGAAGCTGAGTGCACCCACAAGAGGGAGGATTATCTGTGTCCCTCCTTACACCCCCCCCATGTGCACCTGACCCCATGCACCAGGACTGTTTCACACCTTCCTGGGTAAGGCAGAGGCAGGTTAGGAAGCCACTCAGGCAAGAGACTGAACTAGAGTTCCCTCACACCCCTGTGGGCTTTTCCCACTCTTCACCCATCAGTAAAGGGAACAGCTACTCGAGATACCATCAGTTGCCTCCCAGCTTGTAAAATCACTTAGCATGATGTTCGAAAATCTTTTACTGATTTTTTCCAACACTAAAACTTGCTGCATATAGCTGACAAGGGCAAGAGGGCCAAGTTTACAAACAAAGTCAAAGAGCTGCGGTGCTGGTGAATGCACATGAAGATGTCTGCGTGGCCTCCCTCAACTCTACCCAGGCACTCAGTGCAGATGGTACACCTGCCTGTGGCACTCGCTTGTGTTTGACGGGGCAGGGTGGCCGCCCCTTCTGCTCATCGGGACACGGCAGGAAGCAGGCTGCAAGCAGGCAGTGCTGCTCAATTGTCCACGCCACCATCACAAATGGGATGGAAGAGGGAAGGACTCAGCCCACCCTGCCTCACCCGTGAGAGAAGACAGGGCTGTGCAAGGACTGCAAACCGCTCCACGCCTGCCTCTGAGGAGCTGGGAACTCCATAAAGATAAGGCTCTTCTGCATCTACGTCTCAGTCATCGCACACTGCTGGTCACTGTGCTCCCCACACTACACCAGGCATTTATGAAAATAGAGGCTGACATCGAACGGGCCACCCTGCAGCAGGGACTCAGCTCAGACCCACTGCTGATGTTTAATCCACATAACCGCCCCATGCTTGGGTTTATGACCCCCATTTTACAGATAAGAAAATGAGGTACAGAGTAGGCAGTATGTATAAGGTGGACCAAGTCAGGCCAGAACTGCTAACCTGACTGTGGCCAGGCTCATCCAGAGAGAACACGCATGAAAAAGAGGCACTGCTTTTTAACCAACTGCATACGCACCTTCATCCTCTCATAACTGAAGGTACAAAACCAAAGATCCGAAGTGCACGCACTCACTGATTCTTCTTTAGTCATTCACATTAACTTCATCTGGCTGACAAGAGCGGAGCTGATCTGGGGTCACTCTGTTTTGTTTCGTTTTTTGGCAGAACTGGGGACTGAACCCAGGCCCTTGAGCTTGCCAGGCAAGTGCTTATTCTACTGAGCCATCTCCCCGGCCTCACTCTGAAGTCTGAATGACAGAAGGGAGCTTCCAGACCAGTTGCCGCAGTGTGAAAGCCAACATTAAAGAATTAACCAAATGTTAAGGTACATTCTGAAAAAATGAATCTCATATAAAAAAAATTTTGACTTCTCCCTGACACTTCTACGTGGGAAACATGATAGCAACATGAAGGCTAGACGCAGCCAGCCACTCTCCTGCTGGAGACTGCTAGAAGCCCACTCTCAGGCTTGTATCGTCCTGAGAGAGCAACCTGCTTGTGAATCCAGCTTTAGTCAGTCTCCTTCAGCCAACATGAATATTGAAGGTTGACTATGAAAGTAACACCAACACATAACCAAAATGCATCTTTATTTTTCCATTATTTTGTGGAGACAGGAGCTCACTATGTTCCAGCCCAGCCTCTAACTCACGATCCTTCTGCCTTTGTACCCAGAGTGCCAGGAGTACAGGCATGCGTCACTACACCCGACTAAAGATAGATTTTTTATTAAATGAATTTTAATGGGCCAAAGGAATGAACGCAGTGTTCCTAGCGTCTGTCATGCCACACTGAGAAAGCTCCAGCCCAACAGTTGAGGTATTGTCAGTTTGTGCAAAATATCCTGCATGCACCTTCCGACCCGAGAACCCCCCTAAGTACCAAAACGGAGTATTTGCTGGTGAGAATAAAAGCTACCGCTGTAAAATATACATCTTGATTTTAAAAAAATATTATAAAGTATCACTCCTCCAAATATCAAGAGCTGATATATTATAGTTACCCCAGAAAATAGAATAGTTTAGAACATAAGTTTCAAAATCAGTACAAAGTTCATTCACATTTGATTTACAAAAATGCTATGAGATGTTCACAAAAGGCAAAATGGTCTCCTTATGAACGTGGTGCTGAGGGGTGAGGAGGGCTCTGGGCCATGAGCCTGGGAGAGCCCCACACAGCACGGCTCTAGGGCATGCGCTCCTTGAAGAACCATTTCTGGTGGTCGGTGTTGGTGCAGTCTCGTAAAAGCGGGACGAAACCGTTGCCGACTTCCTTCCTCACGGCCTGCACACACTTCCTGGACTGTTCATGAAATAAAGAGCCATCCTGCAAATGATAAACGGACACGGGGTGTTCAAGACAATTCCAAGTGACTCCTCAGAAAAGCCTCTTCACCTTCAAAACAGGTTCTGGAGAGCTCATGGCGTGATTATCATTTCAAAAATACTTATGGTGTGGTAACTGTTCCGTGCGTTAAACGTGGACTCTCAACCGCCCTGCATGTGGGGAGCTCCAAGCATCAGGAACTGCTCTGAGCCTGCTCGGCGAGGGGAGATGGCACCACCTGCTGGTTGCTTTGGGGATCTGCCAGACCCTACATTTCATTCCTACCCTCTTATTTCCTTCAGGAAAATAGAGCAAAGAGCTTTTCTTTCTCTTTATTAAAATCTCTTTCAGTTCTCCTAGGTTGACTAATCCCACCCCTATGGGAAGCTTTTTTCTTATGTACCTAAACACAGAACATGGTCACAGTCCCACCTTTGGAGTCCTCCAGCTCCTTGGCCCGAGTTCCTCACCTGCTACCTGCCTGAGTCAGAGGCAGTGGGCACTGTGCTAGTCCAATCCCCACTTCCCAGGGACAAGCACTTACGTAATGACCTCTCTGTGCTGGTGTCTCATGCCCGCAGTGCTGAGCTAGCTTGGCCACTCCTCTCCCAGCCTAGGTGCTCACACTGTGCTGTCACCTCTCTGGTGTCACCACCCACACGCCCATGCTGCACTCCATCACGGCTTGGCAGCAACTGGGCACAACAGCAACCCCCCACCCTGAGCAGAGATTCCCCAGAACAAAAGCAGACGCACCACAATCTCTAATGCAATCAACCTAGAGCTTCCAAGAGCTCTAAGGTGCCCTTAGAGAAACTAAAAAAAAGTTGTCTCCTTCTTACTGTTCTAAACCAACTCCCTTTGCCTTAAAGTCAGTGAAATTTAAGATAAAAGTTTTTGCGATCCCAGGAAAGGCATTAGCCGGGACCGCAAAGCATTCATCAGGCCTGTTTTCTTGTATCGAATGAAGAACACTATGGTGCTTGGCTGCTCGGGCAGACTACAAATTCCATTGCTACAACCTATTTTTCTACAGGAAAAACCTCTTCCGACCTTTAGTCACACTGAGAATTAAGCCCTTTATGGGCAACACTGAAGAACAGATCCTTGAGGATACGCTGAAAATGACGGCTCCCTGGGAAGTAAAAGATAACTAAATTTTTTCTATTACAAGTCTTTCCTTTGCACTTATTTCCCCCAGTCCTTTTTGAGTCCTATTTTACTCCAAATGCAGTCCATAGGGCTGGCACCTTTCAGGCCTGAAATACACCTCTTCCAAATCAGTGAGTATCTACAGAGCCAGCTCCATCCCGGAGTGCTCTTCTTGGTTATAACGCTGCAAGCCACAAGGCGCCTCTACAGCACTTCCCAGCTTCTAAAGAAAGTTTCTGGGTACACACGGAATCCTCACCAGAGAAGGCCCACACTGCTATTCCTGTATCTGTGTTGTTAGAGCTGGGAAAACGAGGCTTAAGAAGTGCCATGACTTCCAGCCACATCTAGCCTCCTGCTGTGGGCTCTGTCGACCTGTCGCATTATTTCAAACCCCGTTCGTCTCCAGTGTACCTGCGAGCGCTCCGCCCCGTTACCCCACGGTGCTTGCACTGTGCCAGCAAGGACTGAACGTGAGGAAGCGCTCCCGACACCCAACGCTGTGGACCATGACGCAGCCCCTGCGGTCACAGCCGAGGTCCCATCTCCCAGGTCTGTCCCATCCTGCCCCGCACCGAGACCCACTGGGACTACGCCAGAAAGAACACCTGGCGTGCACACTCCCGACAGCCCCCGCCACCCCGGGCAGGGAAGGCTGGGCACTCACGGACCTCTTGCAGGAGGAACTTCTGATTGTCCGGGGCGGTGTCCTCACACAGATGCATGATGAGAGCATCTGTTCCCGCGTCCACGGCGACGCAGGCCTCGGGCTGGCGGGTGTTATAGCGGATTTCCTTCTGGGATGTATACTCGAAAAACTAGGAACAGAGTAGGCAACACACACGCGTTAGTTATCAGGCAGGCAGACAGCATCAACTTGAGGAACCCTGGTCTGGAAAGTGCTCAAGAGCCCTAAATAACTTAGCTGGCATCGCAAGGGGCCAAATTATGCAAATTTATTGTGGACCATAAGGAGCCATATGGTCAAATATAAATGGGGTGAACCTGGATCAGAAGAAAACTGCCGAATGCCCTTTCCTTCGTCCCCAGAGGTCTGGGTCTGCAGAGCTCAACAACACACTAAGTGCAACCAGCCGCATCTCGTGCCCTGCATCCTCCACAGGCCCCGCCTCGCCAGAGGTCTCTCCTGGGCCGGGGTCTCCGTTCTGGCTCTCACAGCCCTCAGGCCTGAGCTGCCCTGGACCAGCCTGACATGCAGCACTGATCCAGAAAGATCCACCTAAGTCCCCCAGCAAAGCCAAGTTCCCTATGCACCATTTTGCAGTGTGATTCTATGCATCAAACCTGTAATTCCTTTTCAGAATGAATTCTAAGCAAATCATCCAAAATGCAGGTCTTTTTTTTTTCCTTCTTTCAAATGGAAGATGATTGTGGCAGTTATTTATAGCCCCAAAAGCCAGGAGGCAGATAAGTAGTCAGCTAAACGATCACACAGCCAAGCATGAAGAGGCCCCAGGGAATGGCATTCCCAAAGCGCATCTAATAGCATAAGTACGGGCAGCTTCATGGAATATAAAACACTCATGCTGTGTGTGGCTGCGCAGGCCTGTGACCCGAGCACTCGGAGGCCGAGGCAGGAGGATCCCAACTTCGAGCCTTGCCTAGGCAACTTGGTGACTTGGCAATAAGGGAATGCGGTGGGTTCAACCCCCAGTTCCATGATAAATAAACAAATGAATAAGTAGACATTATGGTAAGAACTATCTAAGATGTGCTCTACAGCCTATGTATAGAAACAAAAACAGGAAAAAAATATGTTTTAACTTTAGCTGTGGTCTCTGCGGGTTTGAGCCCCTTGCTTCCACTTTTTACATTTCTCAAATGTTCTGAAATGAGCATGTATAACTGCTATAATGGAAAAAAAGGTTTTAACATTTAAAAACTTTTATTATGCTAAGGATCAAACACAGGACCTCATACCTGCTAGACAAGCATTCTACCACTGAGTTACATGTCCAGCCCAGCAAAATCAAATATTTACTTTTTTTTAGGATTCCTTTTTTTTTTTCTTTTTCTTTCTGTACCAGGAATTGAACTCAGGACCTTGTGCTTGCCAGGCAAGTGCTTGTGCCACTGAGCCATCTCCCCAGCTTTTTTTTTTAAATATTTACTTTTTAAAAAACCACACTGCTTTGCACATCCCCACTCCCACCCCAGGCCCACACTGACCTGGTTCTGGCCCATCCCGTGGCAGGCATAGAGAATGACCTGATGTCCCGAGACTTGGTTCTCATCAGGGGGGTTGTAGTCAAAGCAGTATTCCTTTAGCCCTTTGTTCTGCAGCTGAACAGAGCACAAAGGCGGTGTTTGGTGCAGCCTGAGGTACCCCAGCAGATCCCATGCTAGGCCAGGAGGGGGTACGAGGCCTGCAAGGAAGGCCTGTGTCTGGAGAAGGACCCATGAGAAGGGCCCCTCTTCCTGTCCCGCACTTCCTGATCTTTCCAGGATCTTCCTGTGAGAGTTGTCGGCACAAAATCATACCTCATTTTACCATGCTAGCCCTGTGGCCTAGAGATTCATCTCTTTTGACCCTGAACAGGCCCATCTCTTATTTCTCAATGGCAACCTTAGGGATGCGCTGCTCTAGGTGTCCCTGAGTTATGGCCTCCCGCTAAGACTGAGCAAGCCACTATCTCGAGCCGGTGGCCGGGGACAAGAAAAATGTTACTTTGTGGTGCTGAGGATGCACTGCAGGGCCTCGTGCACGAGAGGCAGGTGAGCGTGGCACCTCGAAGCTCCATCTTCAGCCTGGGGTTTTTAAGTGACTTGAAAGCATGCAGGAGAACACTGATGACTACAGTGCCATATTGTTTTGAAAGTACCTCAAGTATACTTTGTGCTATAGCCAAGTAACTAACTGTGTTAATATTACTATATTGGAAACCAGAATTTTTAGTGTAAGAAAACAGAAATAGAATATCCAAGAAGAAAAGATGTTAGAAGCTCACACGCAACTTTGAGATGCCAACAGGAGCTCCTGATATGCTTCTCAAAGTTCCTTTCTGTGCCCTCTGAAAATGCATTTGCCACAGTAGACACTGGCAATAAAATTCATCCAAATTAAGGTGCGGTGTAAGTGTGAAATAAATGCCAGATGTCAGAGTTTAATATATAAAAATATTAAATATCTTAACAAATTTTTATATTAGCCTATATGTTGAAATAATAGCTGGCATAGACTGTGATTGATGTAATATTAACTTGACTTGTTTCTTTAATATGGTTCCTGAAAATTTTTAAATGACACATGGCTCACACCGGGCTTCCGTGGGACACCGTGGTCAAGCGGCAGTGGCCACCCACAGCCCTCAGCCCCACCAATAGGAACATGGTGGCCTTGGAATGCTGTAAGCTCAGGGATTTGGGAGAAGTGGAAAGAATATTAGAGGAGTGCAGGCCTGGGTCTGAATTAAGCCCCTGTAATGGATCAGCGATCACAGAAACTAGAACAAAGGCGCTGCTCCTAGCCAAAGACAGGGTGACCTGAATGTTTCTTAAAGACAAACTAAGTGGAGTGAAATACAGCAGCCACATAAATACAGTCTTGTGCCGCTACCACAGAACACCAGACTGGAAACTCCATAAAGAACAGAACTGTAAGCCAGGTGTGGCGGTGGGCACCTGCAGTCCAGTACTCTGGGAGACCGAGGAAGGAGAACTGCAAGTTTGAACCCAGAAAATTAAGGACTCAGAAATTGAAGGACTTACATGCTGCTTTAAAAAACCCAAAAAAGTCAAAAGAGGTTGGTGATATAGCTCAATGTGAAGGTCCCTAGCACTGCAAATAGAAAAGTAACGGAACTGCATTTCCTGGTTCCGGGGCCTGGAAAGCTGGTGGTCAAGGTACTGCCCACAGGGGCCTCCTTTCTGCATTCTCAGAGCGGAAGGCAGAGGGCGCAAGAGAGCAAACCCAGGCCCACAAGACTTTCTATGGCTCTGTTAACCCACTGACAAGGGCAGAGCCTCGAGGCTCCTCACAAAGATGTGCTCTGGGGACCGGGCCGAACACTGGAGCTAGGGGCGATGCACTCATGTCCCAGCAAGTCCCCATTAGTTTACAATCCCAGTCAAGAAAAGAAAGAGGCACAACAACAAGAGCATCAACAGAGAAACAGGGCTGAGGATATAGCTCAGCAGCACAACACCTTCCTGGCAAGTGCAAGGTCATGTGTTTGAATCTCTGTACAAACAAACAAACAAACAAACAAACAAATAAATAAACAAATAAATAAATAAATCAGTTTAAATAAATAAAACCTCACTAGGAAGAATGTATGCAATGTGTTCATTACTGAAACTGTCCTATCAATTTGGTTTGAAACTGTCTCATTGCTATTTGTTTCTCAATAAAATTATGGAAAAATAAATAAATAAATAAATAAAACCTGATAGTTTGAAAAAAAAAAAAAAAACAGAAAAGCAGCCCAGTGGATACAACTGCAGGACAAGGAAGCGCCGATTCTTAGTCAAAAACAGGCAAATGAAGAGGACTTCAGTATGTCCCATACCACTGCTGTCTGAATTCTAAACTCCAGGGATACTGATTCCCTTTATCTAATGAGCATACATTTTTCTTTACAGAAACATTCAGCAAGTAAATATGGGAGAAATGAGCAAATCACCATTTAGCAACTCCACCTGAGACACTGGATGTCAGCAATGCCTATCGATGACCGTGAAGGCCGCCAGGGAGCTGCCTGGGAAGCTGCTGGGGTGCCGTATCACTACGCGTAACTGGGCCTGATGCTCTGGATAAGGCACAGGAATATAAGGTACCTCCCACGAGTGTTCTCACCAGACAGAAGACTGATGTCAACACCAATCAAACCTTGAGACAGCTCTCCCACTATAAAGAAATAGCCAAGAGAGGGACAACTTAAAGATAGTATATGGGAAAAAGGAGCGGCTCTAGAGAGAGACACTCCACGGACAGCAGATGCTGTTTTTTCAAAAAGTTAATAGTATTAATGAAAGGAAAAGAAATTAGATTTAAAGAGACTTTGCAAACAAGACACAAAAGCCAAATACAACGTGTGGACCGCTATTGGAGTCAGCCGACTGCTTCAAAAAGAAAGCTGAAGAATTTGGGGAAATGTGGATACTAAAGAACACCAAGAAGTGAGCTTTTGTTTGAGTAGCTATGGAATGGTCTGGAGCTGCAAAAGATGATGTCCAAGTTTTATAAGGATTCATACCAAAGTACACAGGAGTGAAGGACATAAGGCCTTGAATTAAAAAGAGGAAAGTGTGGACGGTGGAATGGGAAGAGTGAAAGCAAGAGTGGCAGAAATTCAGATATTCTAGATTTACTAGACCAGGGTTCACTGCACCATTCTCTCATGATCTGATCATGACTTGAACATCTGTAAAATGAAAACTGAACTTAACACAGATATTCTGCTTTGTACCCATCCAAAGCTTCCAGAACGGAGCACGAGCACTTCCGATCAAAGTAACAGAGGGGGACTACATGGTATATTTTCTAGCAAAAACAAAACACTGGACATCTTTGTTGGTCTCATCCAGAAATATATCTTTAGGTTTCATGAAAGACGAGAGTGACTGTCCTACCTGCCCCCCATTGCCCTTGTGGACTCCTCAGCTGGGGTGCCTCAGTGGTCAGGCCACGGAGACCAGAAGTAATGGGCCAAATAAAAACCAGGATGTGGGGATGCCAAGGAAGCTTCGGTTTCCTCATCTGGAAACAGAAGGGTTACACCTATACACTTCCAGAGGGCTTCCTCATATTCTGGACCTTGGGGAGTGCCAAGGGGAGAGGGAAGGACAGTGGGTGACAAGGTGAAAGAGACACCAGAGTGGAGGAGACCTGAGGTCCCTATGGAGGGGTTTTTGGGCTCAGGACGCAGGAACATCCTGCATGCCACAGTCGCCTTGCTCACCATTCCGAAGAAGCCGGGTCTGTCCTCGGGCACATGCAGTTCTGGGTACACCGTCTCCAGGAACCACCTGAAGTCCTTACAGCGGAGCTTGGCCCGGAGCTGCCTCCTCTCTGACACGTCCCCATAAGGCTCCTGAGAAGACATGACAGCAAGTCTCTGCAGCCGTCTGCACTGATGCTTGCTCACTAACAACCACCGCTGCCACCCGAGTCTGCCCCGAGCCAGACGCTAAGCAGCCAGTGCCTCCTAGCAGAGGCTGTCCCGTGCGTAATACCATTCCCAGCTGATCTCAGCATGGGGAAGATGACAGGTGTACAAGGGCAGGTGACAACACATGTGCTGACAGACCAGCAGGCCAGACCCTGTAGCCAGACTATCACTGGGGACCTGTGCACACAGATGTCATCCACAGCTCCAACCAGACAGCCACCAATCTCTGCATGACTTACTATAAATATCTGAAAACCTTATATGCTTAATATATCCAAATATATACACACATACATACATATGTATAGATAGCTAGATAGACAGATTTACCACACATGTACGGTGGTTAAGAACAAAATGTCAGGGCTACTGAGATAGCCCAGTGGACTAAGTGACTGCTTAGGCAAGTGCAGAGACTGCTGTTTGAACCCCACCACCACAGGCCTTGCTGCCCCTGCCCCTGAGTGCGCTGAGCCAGCCACTGAGACTGGGCATGGTGGTGCACACCTGTAATCCCAACACTGGGGAGGCTGAAAACAGAAGGATCACTACGAGTCCAAGCTACACACTGAGACCCTGTACCAAATACATATTTTTAAAAAAAGAGTAAAATGCTGCAGTAGGAAATGCCTGTGGAAGTTTGGGCTCATGGGCAAAACCAATGGGAATTTTCAGTTAAATAGAGCAAGCTTCTACTTGGCACGGCCACTGTCCAGCCTCTAGAATATGCTGAAGGTTGAGAGAAGACTGTGCCGGTCTCATGGGGTTACATGACTGAAAACTGGCAAGTGAGACATTTCACAAGGTGGTAATCATAGTAAACATTTAATACAATTTCAGATTTCTCTTTCTCAGTTCTTTCTTTGTTGAGAGTCACCATGCCCCCAGCTTCAACCAAAATTCATTTTAACAGTGAGGCCATTGGGCATTTGGCTGAAAGGGGTACTCAGCACCCCTTTATTGAGTTCTTTTTTTTTATAATTTATGTATTTGGTACAGGGTCTCACTACACAGCTTGGAATCGTAGTGATCCTCCTGTTTTCAGCCTCCCCAGTGTTGGGATTATAGGTGCGTGCCACCATGCCCATCTTGGTGGACAGCTCAGTGTGCCCAGGGGTGGGGCCAGCACTGCACATGGTGTTGAGGATCGAACCCGGTCCCTGCGCTTGCCTAAGCAGGCCCTTAATCCACTGAGCTACCTTGCCAGCCCCTTTTAGCGAGTTCTTTGGAAGCCTTGGGAACAAGAGCCATGGAATCCAGACTGGATGGCAGTGAAGGGCGCACGTTTTTCCCTGTAGCACTCAGCATGGCAGAGGAAACAGAGGCAAAGACCACAGAACCCCAGAGACAGAGGGCTGAGTGACAGCCAGGCTTACAGTCCGAGGGCTCTGTGGGGTGGAAGAGGGTGCACCAGAGCAGGCAGACCCTAGGCCCAGTTCCACTCAGCTGTCAGGCTGTGGACGAGTCCTCAGGTCTCCTCACTCCATTTCCTCATCTGTCAAATGAGAATCTGACAGTTTTCCTGTACAAGTGCTCTAAGGAGCTGGAGATTTCCACCAAGTAATGTGCGGAGAAATCTTACAGCAGTGATGATGAGCCTTTTAGAGCTTTCAGTGATACAAACAGCCAGCTGTGGCATGCATGCCAAAGGTTTGCCACCACTGTTTTAGGGCAACATCCTCTGAACAACCAAGTGGCACTCAGCATGTAAACGCAGGACAAGCGGCACCCCAGCCTTGGTGTGCAAAGCTGGCCTCTGACCCACACGCCCTGGCCTGCAGATGCAGCAGACCACATTATGCCTAAAACTGGTGGGAAAGAAAGGGCAGATCCCTTTTCTACTAATGCATGATTTGGGACAGCTTTATGAATAAGAACACAGCCACTATGAATAAGAACTGGTGGTAAGGATGTTATTATAAATAGACAAAATCTTTTCATATAAGGGGCTGGGGAGATGGCTCAGTGGAATAAGCGCTTCCCTGGTAAGCGCGAGGGCCTGAGCTCAATCCCCAGTTCCACCAAAATAAATAAATAAAATGAAATAAAATAAAATCTTTTCATATTCTTATCATGGGGGTGCAATTTGTTGCCTGTCTCTGGAACTAGAGCTATCATGTCTGGAAAGGCAGTGTCAGCTGCCTTTTTGTGCAGATGGGACCCGGATGGGGGTGGGGGAGGGGACTCACCAGGCGGGCGCGTGGGTTGCGGTGGTAGTAGAGCTCCTTGTACTCATCCATCCACACTTCAGCTGCGCGAACACTGTTGGCTAGGGCCTTGCTGCGGGAGTAGGGCGCTTGCTTGGGGAAAACATGGCCAACGTGGGAGCATGGGTGTGTCTCCAAAGTCCCACCACACTGCCAGATCTGCACACAGAGCAGAAGGGAGGCCAGGGCTGTGAGCAGGGTATCCACTGTCATTCCCAGGCAGAAGGGTATGCCACGTGGCGGGCGCAGCCAAGTCACCCTGCCTCCACGGGGAGACAACCACCTCAGCATGCTCATGACACAGAACGCAGGCATGGAGCAAGAAGGCAACCCCAAAGACAAACCAAGACCCCAAAGCCCACGCACCAGCAGCTCATGCACCGGACTCGCCGAAGGGCACAGAGACCTTGCTGGCAACCCACTTATTAAGTAGAACAAGGCTTGGTTACCTGATTGCCTAGCCACAGAAGATAGGAAAGCAGCAAGGAAGAAGAGAGGATTGGAAGGGAGAGAGGGAGCTTCTAGAAGAGGCAGGCAGCCTGACACCTAAGGAAGAGGCAGAAAGACCATTAAAACATGCCCCAAACTCGCGAACTTCTCATCTTTCCAAGGACACTGCAAGCAAGCACAGCATCTGGTGCTCATAAGAGAGGGTGTGGGTCCGCCGTGGAAGGCCAAGTTCTTCATTAACTAACTGTTGTCCTGAGGACAGCATACCAGATACAGCATTGTGAAACACTGTCAGTTTTGATACTAAAAAAACATGATTCCATTGACTGGAAAATCCACTGAAATGCTAAGGGTCTTTCGGAGGGGCTTCCATGGCCCACGTTTGGCAGCGTCAGCAGTGGAGGGAGTTTTGAGAGGCATTCCCACGGGCTTTCCAATCTGACTTCTAGACTGTGCCAGTGAATCTGCCTTCTGAGCACATCTCCCCAAGAAGTCTCCTGTGTGTCCACGTTTAAAAGGCACCAAGCCAAACAAAGAGGCTACTTCATACACGTTGGTCAGATAAAGGTTCCTGGTATCTGTGTTTCAGGCCAGCCTCTGCCACTGAGGGGCCTTGAAAGTCACTGTCCTTCTCCTGGCCTCAATTCCTCCCTTCAGAGAAAAAAACGAGGTGACTGGCAAGACCCTGTCAAAGGTACACTTTTAAAAAGCAGAAACAACTAAGTAAACAAGATATACAAGAAGGGAAGGAAAAAGGAAAGGAGGCAGAGAACAGGTTAAGAATAAAACCAAAAAGACTGGAACACTTACCCTAAAGGAGAACTCGAGGTTTTCTCCTCCCCAAACTTCCATTCCTGTATCATAAGATCCCAGATACTCAAAATATTTCTTACTCACAGCAAACAGCCCACCAGCCATCGTGGGCGACCTAAGAGGAGAAGGATCCATGTTTCAACAGGGGCAGCAGGAAAGATCACAGCTGGGTGAGCCACACTCCCACCCCAGCCCTTTACGCTGGTCCACCTCTAAGCACATCCTGCATTCACACTCTGTGCCCCATGCCAGGCTGGGCCCAGAGGCATGGACGTTTCCCACACTCCTGCCTTGAGGAAGCTCACAGGGAGTACAGCACACAAGTCCTGTGCGAGACACACAGGCTAGCGAAGGCCAGCCAGGGCCCAGAGAGGCCAGGGGCAGGGAGGGTGTCACTGAGTTTCCTGGAGAAGGCAGGGTCTGCATGCAGGACAAAGGGAGCTGCCAAAAAAGAAATGGAAGGCTTGCCAGTTGTAACAAAGGCCAGGGGTGGGCCAGGGGTTGCAGCACACACTGTTAAACCCCGCTATTAGGAGGTGAGGCAGGAGGACCGAGAGTTTGAGACTAGCCTGAACAACTCAGTGAGATCTTGTCTCAAAATAAAATTTAGAAGGAGGCTGGGAATGTATTTCAGTGGTAGAGCACTTGCCTAGTAGGGGCAAGACCCTGGGTACAACCTTGGTACAAGAAGAAAAGACCCCAACCTTGTGCTTTTATATATTTTATTTCTGAATGCAGCACTGGGGATTACACCCAAGGCTCAGGCACACTAGGTCCATACTGAGCTACACCCACCAGCTTGTGCTTTTAACACCCTAGAGATCAAAGACTGGGAACCACCAGGTCGTGCAAGGACCTGGCTTCAATCCCTGGCACCATCAAGGAAAAAGAGAGGTAAATTTTAAGTGATGCATATTTACTCTTTTGTACAAGTTAAGTAAATTAATTAAAGTATACAAAGACAAAACGTATTTGCATAGCGAGGATAGGAATCTAGTAGGAGTCAGGAAAGGAAGCCAATGGCCAACACCTCTTCCACAGGGGACATTCCCAGATATGGTAACCAGCTGAGGCCAGACACACTCCAGGGTCCCCACAAGGCAAAGCCTGACCTGATGACATCGATGGGGGACTTCATCCGCAACCTGTCCCGCTCAGGGACCACGTGCCACGTGAATACCAGCCGCCAGTCAAAGCCACCGATCTGGGGCTCCCCGGAGTTGCCCAAGTATTCGAAGGTATTCCAGTCGATGACATCGATCACCGGGCACACCACGGCCGACTCCTCCTCATGAATCCTGCACACACCCCAGATATGCTTGCTTATCTCTGGGGTGGGTGGCAGGACAAGTAGGAAGTGGAGAAGGGACACTCCTCATCCTCCCCGAAGAAAGAGGGAAGACCGGTGGGAGGAGCCCACTTCCCTTACAGGGTCTTCAGCTGTGTGCTGGAGGGGTGGGGAGTGGCAGGTGACCATCACAGTGGACACTGGGATGGCAGCTTTAATGGGAGAAGTCTCACAGCTTCAGTAGTCTGTATCTATCTCTGGACATTCTGTCTATACTTGAAACTCGGAAAGTCAAGATGTGGAAAAATCAAGGGTGACTTTTAAAACAGAAAGCAGATTTTTAATTTCGCAGAAGCATAAGAGGATTCATCACAAAGAAACATCACAAAGTCAGGAAAGAATCAGCTCCCTAAGAACAGAGGTGACCCAGACCAAAGGGTGAGGTAGAGCCTACTCCTGCTCCATACTTGCTGGGTAACATTCGTTAACTCAGCTGACCTCTCAGAAGCTGGTGTCTCACTGGCAACACCAAAATGATAATTCCTACTCCCAGGGTTAACACGAAGATTCCTGGGGCAGTGTTTGTAACGTGGATGGAGCGACCCTGGAGCTCCTGCTGCTCTTCCCATTTCAGCACTGTGACACAGCACACATAGCAAAAATGCTGTCACTGGCAGCCACCTCTGCATGCCCCAAGACTGTGTTCTTTGCAATGATACCACCCCAAGGAAGACAAATCGAGAGACTGGACCTTAGGGGAAGACTAGATTTCTCTGGGCTCTTTGGGGCAAGGGGTATTACCCCAAATTTGAAACCTGAATATTCCGATGACCACGCCACACAAGAATTCAACTAGCCTTGAGCTGAAGGGCCTAGAATAACTGACAAGTCAGAGGGGCTTTATAAATACCACACTAGTGTAGAAACCATGATGATTTTAAGGAAAACTACACCTTTCAGCAGAAGTTCGACAAGGCAGAAAATCAAACCTATGACGTCACCAAATTAAGAAAGCTGCAGACTGGGTATCCACCAACACCGACTTCTCTAAGTACATTGAGGACACTGTTAAAGGGGCTGAGGGGGTAGGCCACAGACCTCTGGAGCAGTCCAAGATACTGCCTGGCCCCTGGCAAAGACCAAGTCCCCAGGACCTCATAACTCACCGGCAAGCTGGTTGGAAGTATAGAAGACCTAATTTTTACAAAACGGGAGGCCTGTCCCAGCCCTGGTGTACAGGACTCTGAACCATGAGTAGAGAATGTGTGTCCCCCAGGGATGCTCCTGGTGTCAAGGTGGAACCTTCCTTGGTTGTTCTGACACTGGGCTGAAGGACACTTGGCATTCCTAGCACTCACTGCTTGATATGATAACTAAGAACACCTTCTCAGATATCCAACAGCTCCTTGAGGAAAGAGTTCCTTGCCCCTGGCTGAGACTGCTTGAAGCACTGTCTACAACCTGACGTGCCTCAACACTGGTAGACACCAGAGTGCCCACAGAGCTCTGGAAACATCTAGAAGCCTAGGTCCTACTCCTACACATCAGATTCCAACAATCTGCTGCAAGAACAAGAGTTAGCACATGGAGGTATTGACAGTGGATAGCCAGGGTGGAAAAGCCCTCGTACACAGGTATGGAGCAAGGTCTTGGTCATTGAGAGGGGACTGGTCTTGCTGCAGTGGGATTCTAAGCAGCATACATATCAGTTCAAGAGGAAAGCGGTTCTCTTCAGACCTCCCTCAGAGGCTTCAGACTAGCCTGGAGATGGCCCTCTATACATCACTGGGGAGAGGGGTACAAGGCGATTCTCTGCCCCTGGCTCCAGACTTCCTTACATTCCAAATGACCTCAGGCTCCCTCACAGGCCTGATGAGCCCTGAGTTTTCACTGCTGCTGAGGCTCCTTAGAGCTAATCAGGAGAAAGAGGCAGCCACAAGAGACAAGGGAATAGGTCTTCTTGGCTTACAGCAGAGCAGGGGCCAGCTTGGTCTCACCCAGACAGGACGGGACAGGTCCCTGGCTCTTTCAGATGTGTGAGCAGCCAAGCATCACCAGCCAAGGGGAGCAGTTTCTCAGCGGCAGGATTTTCCTGACCCTCAGACCTCATGTTTTTTCTTCTGATTTAAAAAAGTGAACATAAAAACATTTTTGTAGGACTGGGGCTATGGCTCAGTGGGGGACACTTGCCTTAGCATGTGCAAAGCTCTGGATGTCAGGTCGAGAACCACACACAAAAATCCAGAAAAGCATGGTGGGTCCCGTGGCATTGTGCTGACTGGGGTGATGGGTAAGTGAGCCTGCTTGGAAGAAATGCATGCAAATATGCATCCTTTAAAGGTGTGAAGGCGGCCTGGCAAGATAGCTCAGCGGTCTAAAGTGCCTGCTTACACAAGCTTGGGCAACTATGCAGGGACCACATGTTGTCCAGCCCCACCCCCAGGGCGGGCTGAGCTGGCCACAAAAAGAAAAAAAGTGTGATGACAAGGAGTGGGGGTGCACACCTATATCCCCAGCACGTAGGACAGAGACAGGAAGAACACTGCAGGGTCAAGGTCAGACCAGGCTACACAGTCAGGTCAAGGTCAGCTTCAACTACAGTGTGAAACCCTGTCTCAAAAAAAGTGTGATGATAGCTTTGAAAATTGTTTGGTAGGGCCAGGGAGATAGCTTAGCAGAATAAACACCTGCCTGGCAAGTGCAGGGTCCTGAGGTCAATCCTGGTACTGCAAAAAAAAAAGGCCAGTCAAATAGCTCAGCGGATTAAATCACCTGCAAGTAAGTGCAGGGGCTGGGGGTTTGATCCCCGGACCTGCTGTGCTGGCCCCACCCCTGAGGCATGCTGAGATGGCAATTGAGAATGGGTGTGCCTATAATCCCAGCTCTTGGGAGGCTGTAAACAGGTGTATCAGTACAAACCTGATCTAGTAGTGAGACCCTGAACACCCTGTTGACCCTTCCCTAAAATACAGAAAAAGAAAAAAGAAAATTGGTGGATGGTGCTGCAAGGACCTGGCCAAGTGACATTAAAGCAAACAGCACTTCTGTGATGACCTGTGATGCTGAACTTCCTTCACATACTTATTGACCATGTACAATCCAGAAAGAACGGCTTCCATGGAGAAACCAAATAAGGAAGGGGAGGGGTAATGGAAGGAAAAAGAAAAGATGACAAAAGAGGGAAGAAACAGAAACTAAGCTTTTGTAAATAGGGAGTGTGAAGGGAGGTTGAAGGGAGGTAGGAAAGTGGGGGGAAAGATCTATCACGTGCAGGTACAAATCCCCCATGATAAACGGAGTCCTTATGCATATCCAGAAAGTACCAATAAACTTAACTAATTAAAAAATAAAAATAAAATAAATTAAAAGCCTGACCCTGCACACACACATACAAAAAGTAATTAAATAATAACAACGGCTGGCAAGACTACAAGGAGAAAAAAACCCTTCTACAATGATAGTGGAAATGTAAGCTAATACAACCACTATGGAGATCAGTATAAAAATTTCTCAAAAAACTAGAACTATAAATTCTATGTGAGCCAGGTATTCCCCTTCTAGAGTTAATGTCATATATTGCAGTGACACCCGCATACCCATGTTTACAAAAGCTCAACTTATAATAGATAAATTTTGCAAACAGCCTACATGCCCATTAACAGAAGAATGGATAGAGCAAATGTGGTATTTATACACAGTGGAGTCATACTCCACCCCAAGAAAGGATAAACTTAAAGCATGTGTTAGTGAATGGATGCACCTCAAGATCACAGGGTGAAGTGACATAAACCAGACACACAAGCTTAAATATCACAGCTGGTTTCTCTTACACCAGAAACACCAAAAATAAACAAAAAGCAAAATACTGCTTAGGCAGATGCAGGGGTCGGAGGTTTGATCCCCGGCCTGTTGTGCCAGCCCCGCCGCCAGGGTGTGCTGAGTCGATGAAGACACCGAGTGTGGTGGCACGTGTCTGTAATCCCAGGGCTTGGGAGCTGAAAATAGGAGGATCACTACAAGTCGAACCTGTGTAGTAAGACCCTATAGACCCTCCACTATAAAAAAACAAAATAAAAGACAGATAATAGGAAGAAGAGAGACATTTTCTAGTGCGAAGGGGAACAAGAGATGGAGGAAGAGCTGAGGGAGGGAAAGGAAATGAGATGAGAAAAAAGAAAATTGAAGAAAGCAGTAGAAACAGACCTTTCTCAGATTGGAAGGACAACAGGAGTTGGAAGGAACAGGGGATTAAAAAAAAAGAACCAAGAAGTGTTATGCTCCTGTACAAATTTCCCATGATAAATGTAATCATTAGGTACTGCAAACATGTACTAATACTTAAAAAAAAAAAGCAAACAGCATCAGAGGCCTCTTACGCCTGCTGTACTGTAAGCACTCCCCACTTATGACTGGCAGTGTACTTCGCAGGGGACTTGCCCAAGGGCATCTGACTCAGGCACTCGCTGCTGCCACTCCAGTCTGTACCTCGGGTGGTCACCCTCCTGCCCTTCCCTCATGGGCGGCTCACGCACCTCTGCAGCAGTGGCTCCAGCCACCCCTCGTGGCACTCACAGTGACAGTCCAAGAAGGTGAGCACATCGCCTCTGGCCACGGAAGCCCCTAGCAGCCGGGCTCGCACCAGGCCTTCCCTCTTACTGGCGCGGATCAGACGCACCTTGGGCAGGCCTGACAGCTCATTGGCCAAGCGCTCCTTCAAGTGCTCTGGGGAACAAGCAGAGCAGCAAGGTCACTGTGACAGTTCCATGCGGAGCACCTCCTCCCAGCTGGGTCTTCCAGGGCCCCCCTGTCCCAGAAGATGAAAGCGACATGCACCTCCTGTTTGCCTCCTGGCAGGCCTCAACTCACCCACAACTGCCTAGAGCGGGTAGGCTAGAGGAATTCTAGAACCATTTACTCCCTGACAAAACACATGCACTTTGAATTGTATGCCCTAAATAGGTGAATGGTATGATACCTGAACATACTGTAATGAAGTTAGCACCAAGAAATACTTTAGAGCTTGAAAACACTTAAAAACTAAAACCACAGGAATCATCTAACTACAATGCTGTGGTCTGAATATGGCCTAGGTCCCCAGGGGTGCACTGTGATTAAAGGCTTGGTTCCCAGGGAGCTCTGTTGGGAGGTGGTGGAAGCTTGGGGAGGTGAGGCCTACTGGGAGGTCTTACGTGCGGAAGAGATGCTGTCGGTACAGAGCTGCTGGGACCCAGCCTCTCCCCCTCTCTTTTCCTGCTTGGAGACGTACTCACTCACTCCACACACCCCACCCCACCCTACCGCTGCCATCCACTATGACATACTCAAGCTAAGAACTGAACCGATGCCTGCGGCACACCCTCAGACTTCCAAAACTGTGAGCTAAAGAAACCTCTTCCTCATAGGTAGCCTGTATTAGGTATTGCACTATACTAATAAAACTGTAAAATGGTAATTATGTTAGTAGAAGTTTTCCTGGGAGCACTATAGTTTATATAGTAGAAGCGGTAACTAACAATAAAGTTGTGTTAAATTCTGAATTTAAAATTTAGTTGTGCTAAATTCTGATTTATACACAATTCATCTGACCTCCTTCACATTCCTGTGAGGTAAGTACCAGTATTATCCTCATTCCATAGATGGACACCAGGTCACAGTAACCATGTGACTTGCACAGGGCCACAGAGCAAGCAAGCTGAGGAGACACAATCTAAACCCAAAGAATGACTCCAGACCCCACAAGCTTCAGACCGGCCTCCCAGGGCTTTCTCATCCTCAATAAAAGAAAACAAATCAAAAGCTGCCAGGAGGGTTTGCTCCTGCCAGTCAGCAGAAAAAGCAGTGAGTTAAGCGCGTGTGTCCTCAGAGTACTGGCCTCCAGACCTCCCAGTGTCACAGGTGGGACTCTGGGACTGGAGAGCTATCCAGTCGCACTTCAGTGGTCAGGGGAGGCAGGGGAACCTATTCAGGTGAAAGAAGAAAAAGAACAGAGCTTCAGGGCATTGGCTCCAAGTCCTCAACCCTCTAAGTAGTATAAAATGGTTTTGGTTGCTTCCTAGTTTGTGAAATGCTTCTCTAAATATACCTGACACTTCAAATTTCTCTGGATTTCTTTTTAAACCCTAAATATAACAGCAACAAGCGAGTGCCAAGAATAAGGGCAGTGATTTTGCAAGCAAAGCTAGTTAACTGCAGTACCAACGCATACTTGTGAACGTATAGGCGGCCTCCCTGCAATCAGGCTGGGTCTCTGAGAACATTAATTTCATGTCTGCAGAAGCCGTCTTCCTGCACCTGGAGGATGTGCCCTTCATCCAGTTCATCCTGACACTGCAGAAAGCAGCGAGGTGGCAGGCAGCACTGCTGGACTCAGTCCAGGTCCTCAGGCCCCTCCCCTGCTCCACAGCACCACCAGGATGAAGGCAAGGATCGGCCCACCCAGCCCCACGCGGGCAGGAATGGAGCTGTGCAGAAGCAGCGCACACTGTCCCCTGCTCCTACCTGCTAGGGTTCTGACCCCATAAAGTAAGCCACCCGATACTAGTTTTTACATTAATACCTTGGTGAAATGGTGCTTTTTTTCATTTTATAGTTCTTAGAATATTTCACAGAAATAGAAGTTTCCATTTGACAACAGCTACCTCTGTGCTAGGCACTAACCAACACATTGCCCACTTTCCCTCATTTAATCCTCATATCGATCCAACAAGATAAGAACTATTCTTATTCCCACTTCATAGGGGTCTTTGTCCAGGAGGAAAGTGATTAATGTCACTGCTCGAAGTTGTATTGTCACTAGGTGTGGTGGGAGGGATTTAGGTCCATACAGTGTGACCTACAACTGGCATTTACAAATAGATTTAATCATCTCTGGTGGTGGGGAGGAAAAGGAAATGTAGAAAAGTACCTACTATGTGCTGGCTGCTACACTAGCACCTACCATGTGCTGGCTATCACATGAAGTTCAGTCCTCACTTATTCCTCACCACAACACTCTGACATAGGTGTGGCTAAACCCAGTCACAGGTGAGAAACTGAGGCTCAGAGAACACAAGCATCACCCACACTGCCACAGCTGGATGGTGAAACCCCCCAAGACCCAAGTGTCTTGACCCCATGGCTCAGAGCCTACGAGGTTTCACTCAGCATCAAACTCCAGCCTAAATGCCAGAGAACTGCTATTTATTCTCTAATCCCCATTCCATTATTCATCCTTAGCTTAGCAAACAGCCACTAGGATAAAGGCTGCATTTCCCAGCCTCCCTTACAGCTAGGTGTGGCCAGGCAGTCCTGTTCTGCCCCATGAGATACAGGGAGGATTTCCAGGTACTGTCCTTGAAGAGAAAGGTTACCCCTCCTCTCTATCCCCTCTGGCTGGCTGAGATGGGGTAAGGGTGGGAGCCAGTCTGGCCAGGCCAACAAAGACAGTACAACTTCCCAGAGCAGATGGCAGTGAGGGCAGGTACCAAACCCCAAACACCATCCTCGACTATCACACCAGACTTGTAATGCGACAGTGCTGTCTCTACCTTGTGTGAATCACTGTAATTTTGAGTGTCTACAAGAACAGCCCAACACCCATGCCAATAAGAACACACTTGTGCCAGCTCTGAAGTCAGATGGACCAAGCAGAGGCCCTGCTCGGGAGGCACAGCCGCTGGTCTCTTGGGTAGTCTGGCTTGAAAAAGGCTCTAACAAGGAAGCCCACAGCTCGACCTGTACCACAGCCTTGGCATTTCTCCGCAATTAAGCTCAGCTGCCTCTGCTCCAACTAGCCACTAGTTACCTGTGGATACCTCTAGTTCCCAACAAGCCAGGCTTCTTGCTGTGCAGAGCTCCGCCCATCCTCATTTCTACCCTTGCCTCATACATCCCCTCCCTTTGGATGCTCTTCGGACAGCAGGCTGAGAAAGTTCTTCAGACTAACTGGAACCTTCCCGTCTTCCTTAACCCTGGGAGAGCTGACCATACTGAGACCTCAAGGCCACCAAGGCCCTGCCCTCCCTCACCTCCCCACCAGTATCACCCTCTACTCTCATTTCAGCTTCTGCATGGGCCTTCCCTTCACCTGAGCCACTCTCCCAGAAGTCACCATTAGGTACCCAGGACACAGCAAACCCATCTTTAACAGGCCTCCTCTCCCCTCCTTCGTCGCTCTCTCCCCACCTCCCTGCCACTGCCATGGAAGGCCCGGTCCTGCCCAGAGTCCCATGGGGACTTACCTTTGTCGCTATAGTCATCTACCAAGATAACTTCTTCCACCAGGATGTCTGGTGATGTCTCGAGAACACTGTAAACCGTCCGAAGGAGTGTTGACCAGGCTTCATTATAAAACGCTATGATAACAGATGTTGTGGGCAAATTTTCATAATCGTACTTCTTCTCTTTGCACCTACAAATACAACAGAACTTCAGAAATCAAGAACCTAGCCAAGGGGCTGGGGAGATTGCTCAGTAGAATAAGCGCTTCCCTGGCAAGCACAAGGGACTGAGTTCAATCTCCATTTCCGCAAAAAAAAAAAAAAGAACCTAGCCAAGGCTGGAGCTGGAGATGAATGATGATAGACAGGACAGAAGTCATGGTCTCCAGGCTTCCCTGGGGAGGGGGAAGTAATCTGCGCAGGCTCTCCCACAGGTCTCCACTGCACACCACAAGAACCAGCAGAGGACAAGAGTGTTCTCAACATGACCCGAACAACCTTTGCCTATGGAATACTGGTTTGTTTGTTGAGGCAGGGTCTTACTAAGTAGCCCAGGCTGGCCTTAAACTCCTCATGATCCTCTTGCCTCAGGCTCCCAAGTCCCTGAGACAGGTGCCATCATACTTGGCTCTGTGGGATAGTTTGTAAAGTGAAAGCAATTTGCTGAGTTGAGCAATACACAAACCAGGTAGAATCAGAAAGAAGAGAATCACTTGTCCCCTAGCTGGCCTGTGCCAGCACCATGCCAGGTCTTTCCCGTTTTCTCTGCCTGGCATACCCTCAGCTCTTCTCCCTGTCCTCCTGTAGGAGACACTCAGCTCAACTCCTCCCTGGGAACCCCCTGACCTGTCTCAGGCAGGTGCTGGTCCTTCAGTGCACACCGGCACACATCGCAGGTACCCCTCAGTGTATTCCCCTGACTCACGGGCTTGCCCCTCCCTCCCTTTCCCCAGCTTCCAGCAGTGACTGTGTGCACAAAGGTGATACACTGAATTTAGACATCAGAATTATGGCTGGAACACACAAACTGTTAGAAAGGGCCTCTGCTCCGTGATGCGGCAGGTATGAGGTGAGGCGAGGCCCACCCAACTTCCAGGGGCCTTACCAGCAGTTATGAGAACAGGCCTCCTCCTTGTTTAGTAGTAGCTATGCATTGGGGCACTCTCCCTAGTTGACAGAGAATTCTATCCTCGAACTGATTGATAGCAAACTCGCAGACTGACCAAGGTTCCTCCTGGAAATTACCAGCAGTACAGTTACCAAGCAGCTAATGGCAAGCTGAGAAAGATACCACAGAGACAGCAGAAGAACCAGATTTTGAACACTGGGGCCCGACTGGGGATCAGCTCAAATTATTCAGACAGGATCTAACTACTGAAGGCCGGCCAGTTTTCAGCGAAGCTAAAGCAAGGCCTTTCTGAATAAGTGGGGTAACAGATCAAATATGTCTACGTGTAAAAATATTAACAAACGCGTCTGGACTATTAAGCCCCTGAGTAGCATACGGAATGCACAGAGAAACTGTATCATGCTGAGGTGTCACCCAGGAGGAACCGCAGGCAGAAGTACTTGCTTACTGCTATAGTTTGGATCTAGAATAGGCCTGAAGGCCCCTGTGTTAAACGCCTGGTCCCCGGCCTGCTGTTACTGAATGGTGGCAGGCCCATTAAGAGTTGGTGCACATCAGGCTGGCAAGATAGCTCAACAGACTAAAGCACCTGCTTAGGCAAAGCTTAGGCAAGTACAGGGACCGCAGTTTGATCCCCAGCACCACATGCTGCGCCAGCCCCGCCCCCAGGGCAGGCTGTGCTGGCCACAGAGTCCCAGCATAGTGGTGAAAGCCTGAAATCCCAGTGCTGGGGAGGCTAAAAGCAGGAGGATCACCAGGAGTACAAGCTGTGTAGTGAGACCCTGCAACAACCAAATACATTAAAAAAAAAAGAGTTGGCACACAGTAGGAAGTTTGTGGCCACTGGGAGCATACCCTTAAAGAAGGCTTAGGACCCCAGTTTCTTCTTCTCTTTGGCTCCCGACCAAGAGGTGACCAGTTTGCTCTGTCACTCACTCCCGCCATGCTATGCAGCTGCAGGCCCAAAGAACCAGGACTACCGGTCATGGGCTAAGACTTTCAAAACGATGAACCCAAACAAATCTTTTTATAAGTTGATTTTATCCAGATATTTGTTAAAGAATTCAAAGCTGACACACATGAAAAAAGATATTTTAGAAACCCTTTTAACCTTAAAAAGAGACACAGCTAAAACCTAGCTTGGAGTTATGCTCAGGTCCAAGGAGAAATAAGTGAAAAGAAGGGTGTTAAAGGGAGATTTTCAAAGTGAAGTAGTTGATTCTATGCAAAGAACTGTCCCGGAGTCTGCACCACATCCTTACTGCTTTAGATGAAAATGTCTGTGTTCTCTGCCTCAACAAACGGAGCTGGGATCATATGTCACCTTCTTTTCTACTTTTTCTGTTTATGTGTTTTTGCTGCTCTGTAAAACTCAGAAGTATAGACACTGCCCTGGAGTGGTTAGTGGGTTCCTTCTTCATAACACCTAAATCGTACAAAACTGGTTGCCAACTTGTTGATGTATATTCAGAGCTCTAAAATTTCCTCCTTGATCTCATGTCACTCACTGCATTTACAGCTATGTTGGGGACGGGGAGATAGTTCAGTGGCATCAGCGCTTGGCTAGTAAGTGCAAGGCAAGGTCCAGGGTTCCATCTCTGGTACAAGAGGGACAGAGACAGACAGACAGACAGACAGAGACAGAGACAGAGACAGAGACAGAGACAGAGACAGAGAGGTGGGGGGGAGAGATGGAGGGAGGGGAAGCAGAAGACAAAGGTGTGAAGAAATGCTAGTAGGCGCCAAATAGATTTTGGGAGAACATTTAATGATAAAAGAGAATAGTCACATTATAATTTTAATCAAAAGAGCAGAGTACAAATTTATAAATAGCCAATTCTCTAAGCAGCAATGTGCGTGCTTATGGTCACATATAAACAATAAACAATAGAAAGAACTATGCCAAAAAATGTTATCAATGGTGTATTCTGAAAAGCGGGATTCTCTGATTCTTCTTTTTCTGCATCTTACAATTGTTCTACAATGAACATGTGCAGTTTCTTACAATCACCAAGAAAGGCTTTTTGAAAAGCTGAGTCATTTTCTTTAAATGCCTTCACTGAGCAATTTAACATTCCACCCTCTGCTCTTCCTTGGCCTGGGATAATTTGTCTTTCTTTAAAACATCCCCTCAAGGCACGCTCCTTTATGAAGCTCAACACATCCTACCAAACATTTCCAAGTTTCCTTCCAGAAAAAAAGTCTTTTCCTGGAGAGAAACAAAGCTGTGTGTTGAGAAAAGGCTTGATTACAGGGCAGCTCCGCATCACTGTGGTGTTCTGCTTTTGCCTTGGGGAGAAGCAGAGGAAGCTCTGAGCTAAAGGGAACGCCAAGTTCCATGAAGCCATCTTGTCACCAAGTTGCAGGTACACTGCCCGTGAGAAGGCAGGAAGAAAAGGAGAGAGACAACAGAAGAGCCAACTGAGAGGTACTCCAGTCACTGTCCACCTCACCAGGTTATGCAGTCACACATCTGCCAAGCACTCGCCACATGACAGGCAGTGCGCCAAGCACCTCACAGGCACGATTCCACTCAGCCTTCATGGCAGTGCTACGGGGTAGTGACCTCCACACATCTACTAGTGTCATGTAATACAAGTCTGTATTTTTGGATGGATACAAATAAATGGGCTTGGGAAATGCCTCCTAGTTCTCTTTTATCCTTATATTACAGTTACTACAAAAACGTCTTTTAGAAAAATAACAAAAATCCACAACCTTTCTACAACAGGCGAGGGAGATCCGAAGGTTCATTTGTGTATTTTACCTGTCCCCAAACCCTTCCTTTTCATGATCCTATACCTTGATTTTTC